TTTTTTGGTTTTTGCACATGTTAACTCTTTATTAAGGACTCTTAATTTGCTGAGAGCAAAGTTTAACCCTGGCCTTCCTCCTTCAGTGGACAGTCCTGGTGAACCCAGGGCAGGTTCCCTGAAAAAATACTGAAAATGGACAGAAAAACAAGAAAATGAGAAGTTCTCTCACTGCTGGGAAGTTATTTTTTTGTTTCCTGCTGCTTCCCTTGGTCTAGATAATTTTTTTGTTTGTTTTTTGAAGAACTGCTAGTGGTATTTCCAAGGATTTAACAAAAAAAAAGCAACAAGAGCCCAAAGATGGGAACTGGGGTGAAATTTTTTGGAGCAGGAAGCACAGCTGCTGTTGCACAGGTTTGGTTTGCATTGTACTGACTGATCTCAAGAGCTCTGAAATGCTGAAACCCACCTTCATCTTTACTTGAAATACTTTATTTTCCATGAGAACCATGGTCTGAATTCTGGGTTTTTCCTGCCTTTTGGGGTGGTTTGATGGGGTGGAGGAAGATTTTTGGCTGCACCTGCAGTGCCAGGTTTTCAGGTTTACCTCCTGCTCACAGTCGGATAATGCACATTTTACTTCCAAAAACGACAAATCTCTGTATTTTTTATATTATAGATAGCTAGATATTTGTCGAATTGGGCCACAGAGGAAAAAATATATCAGAAATTTCTGTAATTGCTGTAAATAAACACTGTGAGGCAGGCAACGCCTGAAAACACCCCCCGGGCTCAGCGGGGTTTGAGTGACTTTGCCACGATTTCATTAAAAACGGAGGAGCTGAGCCTTTGTTGTGGAACGAATAAACTCCGCCTGTGCWGGTGCCCGGGTGTGGTGTGATGGGCGTGTCCGGTAACGGGGGGCGCGCGGGGCATGCTGGGAGTTGTAGTCCCCTGGCGCAGGAGCTGCTGGGAGCTGTAGGCCAGAATGTCACTTTTTCTTCCTCACCACCTCCCTTCCCTCCCAGCTCTTCCTCCTCCTCCTCCTCCTCCTCTTCCTCCTCTTTGTTTTCCTCCGCCTCCAGAGGAGCAGGGCGGGAGTTGGTAAACCCCACGGCAGCCATGTGCGGGGCATGCTGGGAGTTGTAGTCCCCGACCGCAGGGACTGCTGGGAGCTGTAGGCCGGAATTTCGCTTTTCCTTCCTCCGCATTCGTTCCCTTCCAGCTTTTCCTCCTCCTCCTCCTCCTTTGTTTCCCCCGCCTCCAGAGTAGCAGGGCGGGAGTTGGTAAACCACAGAGCGGCCATCGGCCATGTGCAGGGCATGCTGGGAGTTGTAGTCCCCTGGCGCAAGACCTGCTGGGAGCTGTAGGCCACAATTTCGCTTTTTCTTCCTCACCACCTCCCCTCCCAGCTTTTCCTCCTCCTCCTCCTCCTCCTCCTCCTCCTCCTCCTTTGTTTTCCCCCGCCTCCAGAGGAGCAGGGCGGGAGTTGGTAAACCCCACGGCGGCCATGTGCAGGGCATGCTGGGAGTTGTAGGCCACACTTTCCTTACTTCCCTTTCTCCTCCTATTCTTCCTCCGCCCCGGGGCATGGCGATAGTTGTAGAACGTGGTTTCCTTCCCACTTTTTCCTCCTCCTCCTCTTCCTCCACATCTCCATGTACGCCCACAGAGCAGTTTCAATGCCCGTTCCCGCGCGGAGCATGGCGGGAGCTGTAGTTTCAATGGCCGCTTCCCGCGCGGAGCATGCCGGTAGCTGTAGTTTCAATGGCCGCTCTCGCGCGGAGCACGCCGGGAGCTGTAGTTTCAATGGCCGTTTCCCGCGCGGAGCATGCCGGGAGCTGTAGTCCCCTCAGCGCGTCCCGCCGCGGTTGCCGCGTCTCCCCGGTGTTTTCCCGGCAGCCCCCGCGCGCGGCGGGCGCTGATTGGGCGGCGGCGCGGACGGGCGCACGCGCGGCCGTTGGAGGCCCCGGGGCCGAGCCGCTCCCTCAGCGCCGGTACCGCCGGAACCGCCACAACCGCCGGCATCAGCGGCACCGGGAGGGCAGCCGGGCAACCCACCGCCCCGCCGATGCGC